AAGCATGCGTTGTCGATCTGTTTGCCGAAAAAGATGTGATTGAACAAGACTACAAAAGGATGAGGAGACAGCTTGGAAACATGGTCCGAGAGACATGGCTTTCGATTTGGAAGATGATGGAACTCGACCCGAAGGACCTCTAAAACGTCGCCATTTTATCACCAAGCAATCTCTTGACAGCTAAAGCACACGGGCAAGACCTTCGGATGGGTGTGGGACAACGAGTCCTCCTACGTGGTGTGGGTGGCGAGTCGTCTCAAGCTGGAAGGGGAGTGGAAGGCTTTCCTGCATTTCATCCACAAGAAGACGGCGAGCCTCGAGCTGGAGCAACGACAAGCAGCGGGGGTCAAGTCAGGGATCGACGAGTCGGACCAGTGGCTATCTTCCAAAGCATCCTATGGCGCCATCTGAACAAGATCTCGAAGACCTGAGCTGAGGCCTTGCATGGAACCACCTAGCGTCCACAGAGATGGAAGAGAACGCTCATGACGAAAGCTCTCCAGCAGATCACCCAGCGCTTGGAACAGCTTGAGTTGGTGATGACCGAGATCGTGAACAAGATGAAGAGCTCGTGAGGCAGCTAAAGAGAGAATGAGAAGGCACGCCATCATCCTCTGACATAGAACACAAGGACAAACGACTGAGAACAGGGATTCAAAAACACAAGAAGGTGTGTGAAAATGTTTTGCACGCGGGTCCTCGTGATGTGTACTGCAAAAAAGAGAGGGAGAGAGAGGAAATGGCACTTGGACAGTGAACGCTAAAGCAAAACGTGGTGCACAGGTCAATCTCCGTGAGTTATTAAGTCCTGAAGAGTTTGGAGAAGCTAAAAGCAACGAAATCGGCTCTTATAACTTATATCGAACGTGTTGCTGTGGACATTTGCAATCTTCAACTCTTCATGGCATTGACAAAGAAAGGGTTCTAGCTATGAGCTGGGCGTTAGTTTCGACACCAATCACTGACGAGTCAGGGACACTTCTATAGTGGCCGGAAAACGAAGGCAAAAAAGTTATTCATCAAAAGGCTTTCAGGATCCTGATCTTCTTCGCATCAATAGTAACTCACCCACAGTTTCGACTCTGGGACGGAATCTGTCGACTTCGTCTGAAACCAGCCATTTTGGATGGGAAACTGTTTCTCGGAGACGTCAAAACGGTCTTTTTAAACAGAGACGACACGGAACTGCCTCGCATTATTTTTGGTGACCCTCCAGAAGATGTGAAGACTTATCTTGACATGTCAAGAGATCAAGGTTTCAGAATCAGAAAAGCTATCAATGGACTGTTGAATGCTCCAAAACAGTGGCTGAACAAACTGGCCAAGGAACTTAGTAAACAAGGGTGGAAACTGTGTGTTCTTGAACCTTGAATTTGGCGGTTATTTAGTGAAGGTAAAGTGGTTGGTTTGTTGGGTGTTCATGTGGATGATGTCCTTGTTTCTCGTTCTAGTCAGGTTTATGAAGCCAAAATCACAGAGCTGCGAAAGACCTTTCCCTTTGGTAGCTGGAACAGTGCACCAAAAGAAAAGACCGTGTTCTGTGGAGGTGAACTCTCTCAAAAGAGCAGTGGAGAAATCAACTTGAAACTTGAAACAAGAAAAATATGGTCTTGGTTTGAACGGAGTGAACATGACTAACGAAAAACGAAGTGAACATGACTAAAGAAAGTCAGAAATTGAAAGCGAAGCTACTGACAAAGAAAAACATGAAATGAAAGGACTTCTCGGAGGACGCGCTTGGAGAGCGAATCAAACAGCACCCTGGCTTTGTGCTTCCACGTCCATTCTCCAAGGACACAATCGCTCTGCTACAGTGAAGGAGGCTTCGCGAGCCAAAAACTTTGTATTACAAAGGGCCACGGCTGAAGTAGGGTTAACGTTCCCTTATGACATCAGAGATCCCATGATTCTTTCCTTTACGGAAGCTAGTCATGCAAACGGTCATGGTGCGTGTCGGCCGGTCTTGCAAACAGAGCGGACGCTTCTTCTCAAGGGGGGATCGATCATCATGTTGACTGACCGGAAGATTTTCGACGGACAGACTGCCCCTTTTTCAATTGTTAGCTGGCACAGTAGAAAGTTAAGACGACATGCTGGGAGTTCCACCTGTGTGAAAGTTTAGGAATATGCAAGCACATACGGCGAAGTTGAGGTTGTGAAACAGGTGATGTATGAGATCCTCCACGAACAAGGTATCAAGGCCAGAAATTCAGTCGAACGCATTGCAAGTATCCCAGCTGCAGTGGTTTGTGACGCCAAACTCCTGTACGACTCCGTCAAAAGGGTTGTGTCATTGGGTTTACCAATGGAAAAAACGTTTATGTCTGGAAAGTTTGAACATCAAAGAATGAGCGGAAACCACGAATACTGAATTGAAATGGAGCGCTTCGGATCAACAAAGAGCTGACGATCTTACGAAAATGCTTGAAGTGGACAAACTTTTGGGAACAATTTATTTAGGTGCATATTCTCTATCTCTGTTGTTCCAACCAGTATACGGAAAAAAGTTGAAAAAATTGTAAAATTATCAAATGGGAACAAAAGAAAGAGAAAACAATCCTGCAAAATGGCGCCGACACAAATCTAGGAAACCATAATTTTAAAATGGTGAGTCCGTGAATGCATTTGTCCACTCATGACATTCCATATTCCAAGCATACACGCAGCTGCATGCAACTCAATTGTTTGACCATAGCTCTTAAGTTATAACGCATGAAACTACAATATCTACTGCAATGCCTTTGGAACTGTCAACCAGCCTATTTTACATCTTAACTGTTGTTTTTCAACCCAACTCCGCAAACAACTCGATAACAGGTTCCCAGAACGGTTCTGAAACTCTTCAGAACTACTTAGAACTATTTATAACTATATATATTGAACTAGTGGGATTGCGGAACTTATCTGTTTAAAGCAAAGGAGAAGTTATAGGTAGCTAGATGTTATTGTTGTAACTATCAGTTAGCATAGTCATAAGTCATCAACTTGGCAAAAAGTGAGGTTTAGCAACTGCTTGGTCTGGAAAAAGTTGTCACGTCCAAGGTCCATCGTCCATAGGCGTGGGAAGTCCCAAGAACTCAGATTGTTCAGAAACCTTCATACATAACCATTCATGGCCTTCGTTCTTGCATAATTACTGAGTGTCATTCAATGTCGAGCCTAAACAATTGCCTCCTCTTATCTTTGGGAGTTTCTGTGAATGGTCCAGGTCCAAGGTGTTTTTTGATCTTCAACAACGTCTTGCGTTGAGCAGTGTGGCAGCTTAAAAATCATCCTGCACGGAAGGAAGAAGTGTGAATCAGAAACGAACGAAGGAAAAGAACGTAGCCTGCGGCTGCCTATAAGGAAAACATGAGACACATGAAAAATAGGCTGGACAACAGCAAAAAGCAAAATTTGAAAAAAGGGTGGCAACAGAACCGTTCTGGAACCGTTCTGCGGAGCACCACAAGCCCAAAATATGCTAATTGTTGGCTGTCTTCAAAATCGAGGAATATAGCCGGAAAAACGAACACGGGGTAAAAAGCGCGTGCCACTGAAGTGGGCAACAAATCAGAATCAAGGTGCCGGAGCATTTGTCGGGAAAGTCAGGAATCAAAAATCAATTGGTGGAACGCTTGGAAGTGCTGTCAAGCTTTTGAAAAGTTGAAAGCCTTCTCGATGGTGGTCGTCGTGGTGGTGGGTTAAATCTAATTCACAGTAGATAGTTCAACATTCCAATTCTCAGGTGTAGATTAACTGCAAGTCACTAGCGTGGTAGAATTTTTCAATTGGTGACCACAAGCCATAAACTTATAAACAGGTCAAACATGATAGCGCTTGACCAGTGCACGGTCGACCTCGCCAAGTTGGTTTGAGTCTGAGTAGAACTTGTCTTCTGAACTATTTGATTGGTTGTTGGGATTTTGAAACTGCCCAGCCTACTTCTTATATACTTCACTTCATTTGCAGGGCAGATTTGTCCACAATTTGAAGTGAGTATTGTGTCCGCGTGGCCGATGTTTTCCAAGTAGTAAATGACTCATAAAGATTGATAGAGAAAAAGGTTGAGTGGATGATTTCACACCTACTATGTCAACACATGGTCAACCCGGTCAACCCTCAGGACATCGAATGAACCACGCCGACGTAGTTGTTGCACCGCAGTAGCGGACCTGACAAACTAGCCCAGGAAAGAGAAGGGGACGACTAAACGCAGAAAATAAGAAGTCCAGTGAGGAAAATGATGCCGAGAAAGAACAATGAATCAAATGCGAAACACAGTGCTTGGCCTCGGCTAGAAGTCTTTTGTTGAAGATAACTGTAAACTGACAGTTTGTAGTACCACGGTTTGATCATAATTTTATTTGATTTGATATCTTATACAAACATCTGCACATCTACCTACAGATCAATGCCATGATATGGTACAGTAAGCTGCGGCTTCAACTTGCAGCGGTTGAAGCTGTTGAAGAGCGTTTCTGAAAGCACTGGGGAACATTGGGGAACTCTAAAAGAATACACAAACATTGACAGTTTGTTTCCCACATGTACTACGTAAACTATGTTTGCCAATCTTCCCCCCAAGGAAGAACACGGTTCTAAAGTTTAAATGGTTCCGTGCATTCAAAACACAAGCCCCTTGATATAGAGGATACATAGCTAAATAAGACACGATTCAAAGAGGTGTTGTTGGCATCTCTTGGGATTCGAGATTCATTTCGGCGAGAGGGAAGCGTCGGGAAAGAAGCAGTGCAAAGTAGTCAGAGGCAATTGGGCATGTTGAGCAAGAAGATAATTTTAGCGATATGGTTTTGAGCCTGTTGTCTCGACATGTTCGTGAGAAAAGTGTAAACGCAAGCGTTGCATTTAAGCAGCACAGTTGAACCACCATCCTTTGTGAGATAGACCAGTGTCTTCCCGCTTCCAATGCAATCGACAACAGTGAAAGGCAAGCAAAAAAATCCTCAAGACATCCAAGCGAAACCCATGCAGAAATTCACCCGGTCACAGCTGGTGTCCTTTCCAGATCGCATCAGCTCGAGCGTCTTCACAATTTCCACAGTTTCGACGTTCCACACATGCGCAATAGCGTCCACCGACATTCCTGTCTGGCCTAGGCAACACAAGCAAAGCAAGCAAAGGTCAAGCAGCCAAGCGCATTCAAGGGACACCTTGACCCCCTATTTCTCTGTGAAAAGAACGAGACGCCACATAGGTCCTGTGGAGTGTCTACCAAATCCATGAAGCATGAACCACGTCAGATCAAAAGGAACATGTTTAAGACGCATATAAAGCGAGAAAGTACACAGGTGTGAATAATGACCTACGGCCAAGATGTGTAAATTCCTGGGAAGGGACACGTGAAATTAACCTTCGTGGCTGTCATGCCCGAATCTGAGACACCCCTGCAACATCCACAGACCGCCAAAATGAGAAACATGAAACCGAAGTGTAAGGCCTAACCAGCTGACTTCATTCTTTGCTGCGCATCAGCGGCACCTCAACCACTTTCTGCTGAGTTGCTCATGCGGAGGATCTTCTCGAAATCCGCTCGGCTGATTCCCTGGCACTGGCAGCGATGGTGAAATCATGTGGCCAAGGGTTTCGATGAATCTCAGCAGTCGTGGTTTGGGTCCTCCACCAGGTCTGTTCAAAAGCTCAAAAAAGAATCCGTAACGTTCCTGTACTTCAAGCGGTGCATGGCATTGTCATGGCGGAAGAGAATAGCCGAATTAATAACTCGACTATTGGGACAACTTGTACTTGCGACGTCTCAAGTAGTCAGCTTGGGCTACTCTACGCCTATACTGGATGAACGTCCTGTATCAAATGCGAAAAACTTTGTTGGCCTGACCTCGGATGTGAAACACCTGTGGTGGCTCCAACACCTCTCCAAGAGCACTGACACCAGTTTCTCACAAGGCGTATTCAGTCGTGGTACTCCAACCGTCAGTGTGGGCACACTGCTGGCTTCGAAGCATCGAACGTCTCATATGTGATGCGACTTACAAGAACTCCGGAATGATTCTGGGACTCCCTTGCGTAGTATGCACGGCTAACATGTACAAGTCGGAAGTTGACCTGTTTGTTCGACAGAGCTGTACCGGCAAGATGTTTGTACCACAAGGGGCAGGGCGATGATGCTGTGTACTGCATGGACGAAGCACAGGTGTTGCGTTTTCAGACTCTACTGGGATCATACCGCCAGAATAGGAGCACGGTTGGTGTCTCCCAGCCGAAGGTCACGTTTTTTGGAGACAGACAAGCCCCTGACCGACGGTTGTGCTGGAAGAGGTTCTGAATTTGAACCTCAGAGCATCTACCAGTACACACCTTTGAGCAGTGGCCATCCGCCTTCAAATGTTCCGTTCTTTCGTCCAAGGTCCGCTTCAGGGAATCCAAGCAACAAACGTGGCGGAATCTGACAAAATCCGACAGAGAGAAACAGGCTGAGCAAGGTCATTGCAAAACCTGGATTTTCTAACAGCTTCAGAAAGACGTTTCGAAGCAGAAGCCTGTGACAACCAGTAAGCCAGTAAGCCTATTTTTGTGAGGACGATTTTCCACCTGAGTTTTTGACCGAAGCAGGACAAAACGTTGGGTCGAAACTAGCCGTAGAGCGGACCAAACTTACAGCTTGAGAAGCGCCAAAAGACCGGCTCACTAAAGTCACGCATCTGCAATCCTTTGCAGCTGGAAAAAAGGTTCACCTTCTCACAGTCCCTTCTGAGATTTAGTACTAATCTGGAAGCAGATGCTAATAAAGCAACTAATTGAAAATGGTTTGCTCGAAACTATTTCGTTCTTTCGGAAGATCCTCGTGGACCGCTACGCACGCCACTCTACACCGAGCCAGCCGATCCGGCCCCCTGGTGGACACCTTCTCCGGCGATGTCGACGGTGCCGATGGCTCACAGCCGGGCTCCTGCCATCGGTCTAGAAGCTGGAACAAAGTGATTTGGGCTGAATTGGGGTGGGAGGTGAATGCAGTTTTCTTCCAACTCCCCAACACCAACATAGGAAATCGCAGGATCTGCTCTATCATGCGAGGGTGTTTGCAGTGTTTGCTGCACATGGTAATCCATGGATTACGGTGGATAGGTGACAAACTCACTTGGTCTCGAAGTTTGGGGTGGGAGGTGAATACAATAGTAATCCAAGCACGCTGTGTCCCCAATACCAATTTAACGCAACGCCAAGAATCCTGTAAACTTGCAAAGAAGATTGCAACATAAGTCCCTCCAACCTACCTAGGAACCCCTATGTGTGACGCATTTATGACTTGTCTTCGGGCCATGTGGCCTGTCCTTAGTTGTTTGAAGAGAAAACCTTTCCTGTCCCCAAAGCACCTCCTCCTCCGCTCGGCGGTCCTCCATTCTTCGCATCTTGGCCGGCCGATCCAGTGGCATCGGGTCCACGAGGTCCTCCACGCTGGGCGTCTCCTGAAACGACCACGTACGGGTCCCCACGGTTTTTTGTTGTCAGGATCTCAAGATGTTCGCATATGTTCGCCTTACCAATACATTTGGTCCAATGAGATCTTCTGTTTTTGCAATATTCCTTACTCCTGGATGTGAAGAAATCCAAAAACCTTTGACACGATCCAGGCCTCCTCCATCTTGCGTCAGAGACTTCTGGAAGGTTCAGGAGACATCCGCTGACAGTCGAAGGAAGTCTAGTTTAGAATGGCTGAGATAGGATGCAAAGAACTGCCAGCACGCACTCCAGAAAGCTTTTACCGCTTACATGAATCAATTTTGCCCTTGACTGTGACTCAGTTGTTCGAAAACAATATAAACAAAGGGTGGATGTTCTTATCTCAATCAGTATCTTTATGGCGCCTGTGGATACTCTCTCTGTGAAGGTCTGCTACTTCCGCCACTTGGGACAAACATGGTACTTGGCAAGCAGGCAACAAATGACACGCAGTCGGCAAAATTGAAACGCAGTTGAAAGAGAATTGACACAGCTTGACGAGTGTTCTGTCGTTTCTTCAACGTTCCCTTCCATGAAAAAGCTGAGATACACACATCAGCCTGAGAAAGACTCCCATCGAAGCTCAACCAATTACATCGTGTTTGAAGGAAGTCCGACCTTCGTTTTAATAGGCCAAATCACCCACAAAAAGGGACCCAAGTCGGAGAATATCCAAAAAGAAGGACCCAAACTGTGACTCTGAGCTCTGTGGCCTCCGCGCTGCGACGCGGCGACATCAACCTGGCGCACGATTCTGTTCAAACAGTTTCGGGGGTCTTCATTGCACCGATGGAGCTGCTGGCTGAGCACAAATGGACATGGACTCGCAGCAAAAGCGAAGAGAAGAAGCAAGAGGAAGCAACCGAAACTGCAAGAACGTCCCCAATTGAAGACGTGTGACTGTTCAAAAAGCCCTACCAACAAGCATGTTTCTCTGATGCCCCGGCGATGCTTTGAGCAAAGCATTGCGTTCATCCGCAGATGAATTATCTCTAAGCAGCTATTTGCACCTTTTGCAGGTCTTGGACCAAAGCACATGGAGTCACAGCGCTTGTGACTGCAATTGACTGACCTGACTAAACGAGTTTTCGAGTTCCACTGATCGGTCTGAGGGCTCGGCCGACCATGGAAACACCCCACCAGCTTCAAAGCTGAAGACATGCCAAGCATGTCCCTAAACCCACGCTCAATACTGGCTACATCCACTTTGCAGCAGGCGCCCCCTGCGCGGCCTGGGATGTTTGCTCTTCAGGAGCCCGGAGCGACCAAACGCAAGGAGGACCCGGCGCGGCGGACGCTCAGCAGATGGAAGGCGATGCCCGAAGCGAGGTTGGAAATCGGGATTGCTTTCCCCCAACCACGATTTAGCGGATCACCTCCATCCGCGTTTTGTTGAAAATCCCACTCCAGAGTGTTTTCCCAGCTGCCCGCTTGAAATCTCCACTTCACCCAAACGGGCTCGCTGACCCAAAGAAACAGAGACGCCTTGTCTGGCGAAGCCTTGGGGCGCAAGTCGAGCCAGGCCTCGACGCCGGACGCCCCGAGCTGGAACTTCTCGCTGAGCTGCTGCTGATCTTCGGTGAAGTTGGTGAAGTTGTAGCCCGACAAATCCCACGTAAACTGCCACACAGGAGGTTTGATGGCTCGCTGAGCCTTCTCGAGCTCATGGCATCTGTTGCTGAGTTGCTTCCGCTGCGCCTCTTCAGCCTTCTGGCTTTGCTTGCGCTGCGCCTCTTGAGCCTTCTGCAGCTGTTTGTATTTGTCTAAAAGCTCGGTGTATTTCTCATTGAGACCAGTAGACCTTTTGTCCAAATCCTGGCACTTGGAATCCAAGCCTTTACACTTGCCCACGATGCTTCCAAGAAGGTTGCACAACATCAAGGATGCCTCGTCGTTGGTGCGGTCTAGATAGTGCGCAAAGGCGATGGCTCCATGAGATTCATCTTCCTTCCCATCTGCAGAGAAGGTTTCCGCAGCAGCAACAGCTACGCGAGCTCCATCTGCTCGTCGATCGCCCTTTTTGAGCATTTCTGCAAGAAGGATGAGCTGCGGACCACACAAACTCTTGAGACTCTCTTGCTGAAGGGATAGTTTGGACATCACTTCGGCAGGAATTTCCTCTTCCCTCTCCAAATGTAGCTTCAGGAGCAACCCTTCCAAATGTTTGCCGTCATCAGTTGTGCGCTGGCGCAGCATACATCGACTAAGCTGCTTCGACAGAGCGAAACGCACCTCGGCATCAGAATCATTCAACTCATGTGCTTTCACCAACAGTTCAAGCTTCTCCTCATCTTTGTCGTCATCCACAAGCGAGGCCAGAGCGGCAAAGATGGAAGCCGAACTCTGTGGGGGCCACTTCTCTAAGCTGGAAATGCCAAGGTCAGAGTCGAAAAACTTTTTTGCCAAACTTGCGGCAAACTCTTGGTTGCACAGGAAACCGCAAGCATGGCGGAGCAGCTTGACATCAAGCCGTTCCATTTGCACTGTCAACATGCGGCTGAAAGCTGCCAGCACCAAAGATGCTGCTTCCACCCAGGATTCTTGTGCATTTGTTGCCTGATGTTGGTGAAGGAAATCCCACAGGTAATTCAAGCGCTCGCCCTGCTCATCTGCACCTGTGGAGCTTGCGATTCTGCGAGCAAGCTCCTTGCAGACCAAGATCTTGCAAGGCGCAGGTACGCTCAGGGTTTTCATGAAACCTTCGTCTGCTTGAGAAAGCAACCATAGGACTTCTTGCTCATCCATGTCAGCCACCAACTCCTGAAGTTCTGAGGTGTCTCTAGTTTCTAGAAGGATCGGCATCAGCTCTTCCATGACCGCACCACGATTTCCCGGCTGCATCCGCTTTCCCCGAAGGAGCAACAATGAAGCCAGCTTTCTTTTCGCAGACCTATCTTGCAAAGAAGAACGCACAAACTGCTCACCTCTTGAAAGCAAGTTGAATACGTCATCAATAGTTACTTGAGAGGCCACAGACAGAATCTCTTGAATTGTTTTCTCCTTGTACGCGATAACCGCTGACTTCATGTGCTGGCTTGGGTTGAGCACCTACAGGTGTCAAAAGACCACTCTTTACCAATGTCAGCATCAAGTCAAGTCCTTCTTTAAAGTTTCCACTCTAAAAACAACGGGTATTCGCGAGGGCGAACTGTAGCCGGCTCTAGCACAAACATGAAATCTGTGTGAGTGCGTGCACAAAGCGACGCGCCCTATCATAGCCTTATCTCGTGACTAGCTGCGGCAGACTTTGAAATCAGGTCCAGCATATTGAGCATTCCACTGCATATGACGTCGTGAAGGATTTACCCCAATGTGCCGGAAGGAAACACGCAACATAGCCACCAATGTGCACCTACTCTATGAGTAAGGGGCTGAGTTGAAGAGTGACTCATCGAATCATGGACCACAAGTGAGTGCACCAAGCGACGCACCATGCGGCATTCTGTCTTGCAATTTGTATGTTCAGCACTTAACCAACCGAATACTAATCCCCTCCTATTCTCCCAAAAGCGTCGGTTGCAAGTGCAGCGCGCCAATGCGCCCCCAAACGATGTCTGTATCAGCTTCGGTCGTGCTACAGTACCCACAACCCATCCCATGGTTTAAACCTCCGAGTGTTCGTCAACTAATTAATTACCACATATTACCACCCCGTCATCTCATTTTAACCCAACCAATCGCCAAAAAGAAATCCAAATATATTACAAAGTTCATCCACAGCACCTTTGACTTCATGATCAGTCCTGTTGATGGACTTTTTGCATTCGCGCTCTGTTGAAGCCAATCCTTGATGCAGGACCTGTCGTAGTGGAACCCGTCGGCTGCAACCACCGGATCTTCCATCAACGCGTGAGAAATGGGACAACAAAGGTCAGGAGGATCCACCATGAGACGCTTCACCTGTCAATGCAGGCAGTCAGCTGTTAGTCAGATGTTACCTCTCTCAGAGCAACTAGAAATCACTGTGGACTTGCTGCTCACACTCGCACAGAGGCACAGAGGCACAGACACACTGCAAGCGAGTTGCCAATGAGGTGAGGCCATGTTCGCCCACTTGCCCACCGGTGTGACTGTCCTGCATCCAAACGAGATAGACGAGATCGTGTGTTCAACTGTGCACCTAACGATGTATTGAGGCCAACCTATGGCAAACACGGCAAAATGTGTTGAAGCCTTTCCTGATGACCCAGGTGGTCAAAATGCTTGGCATTGTATGCCTCAAAACTAACCAAAGGCAAATAAAAGACACCTAAGAAGCAAATCTCTTCGCAAACGAAAGTCCCGGAAGCTTCGTGACACTCCGTCACAAGCCCTCTCGGCTCCAGAGGCATCCCAGTGGAATCCAGTGGAAATGGTGGCTGGTCCTGTGCACCACACTGCATCAGCTCAAGAGTCTTCATGATTTCTGCAGCTTCCACATTCAACACATCCGCAATCATCTCAGGGGATAAACCTTTCTGACCTCAGGAATGAAGGCGACAAACAAATCCAAAAGAAACCAAAAACATCGAAAGTGCGCAACCTGGTAGCTGAGTTTCTTTCTCGCTTATACAAGCGCTGGGGTTTAGTCACCCAGCAGAATAAGAGGATGACAAAAGCTTGCTCGATAGTGTCAATACTTCAACCAATGTCCAAATCCTGTACAAACGCAGAAAGCTGATTACAATCCGGCTCGGGTCTTAATATGATTTTAGAACATGCCAAATAAGCTTTAACAAATGAACAAGACAAGTCTGCTAGCAAAACTGCTTGACTGGAAGCAAAAGGAACTAAAGCCTGCACTGCTCCTTGCATGTGAAAACCGTTTTTCAAAGCCATACAAATGCTCAGAGAAAACATCGGCCAGCTACGGTTGTTTCAAACTTAACCGCTCAACAAATAATTGAGCAACACGCACAGCCTATCTTCTTGTTCTGAAGTCCCCAAAGCCAATGAAAATGAATATGATATCTGCTTGTCTACTCAAGAAACAGTTGCTGCGATGTTCCATGCTGAGACAACCCTGCAAAACATCGCCAAAATTGGAGACCTGGGGCACAAGTGCTCATCGTACACAGCAATTCAGCCCAGTTGCTCATGCGGAGGATCATCTTCTCGGAATCTCGGCTAATCCCCTGCGGCAGTACTAGCGCACAGCCGTGGCTGTTTGGTTTGGGGCAAGAGGCTCGTCTAGGCCCGAGCTATCCATCTACAACACTCTACATCTACACCTCGGTTCAAAAAGCGTTGGAAATCACGAACGCAACAGACCTTTGCCCACGACTTCTTCAGTAAGGACCTTGCTAACCGCTACGCCCCTCGCGCTTAGCCCCACCCGCTGGTGACACCTTCGCCGGCGACCCTGATGGTACTGATGGAGCTGATGGCTCGCCGCCGGGCTCCTGGGGTCAGTCTCAAAGCAAGAAACAATGATTTGGGTGGAGAGGTGGTACAATACTTCCACCGAAAAGGATGGGACAAAGACAAGCATTCGTTCCCCAACTTGTTTGCAGGAACTATGACCCAAGATGTTGTGCTTGCCTTTCAGCAGGGCCTTTCCCTGATTCGCTACAGTGCTTTACAAACTTTTGTAAACAAGTTCTCAGGAAACGCGTGCTCGAAAAAGTTTTGGGAAACGCATGAGGACCCGAAACCGGATGCTAGTTGCGAGAAGAATGGAAGTCGCTGATCCGTTCCGTCCCTCCAAACCTAAGTCGTGTACATCTTCTGAAGCAAATGTGGCTCATTTGGTTGCGTTTTGCTGTTTCGGTCCCCAAAGCACCTCCTCCTCCGCTTCGCCAGTCCTCCACTTTGCGCATCTTCGCCGGCCGGTCCACGAGATCCTCCACGGTGGGCGTCTCCTGAAACGACCACGTACGGGTCCCCACGGATGTTTGTTGTCGTCAGGATCCTAAAAGATCTTCACCCCGGACGTCGGTACTTTTGAGTGTGGCATCAGGGTTTCGAGATCTCCTTGGTCACCCAACCCTTAATGTTTAGCCACATGAGATGTTTGATGAAATTGTTTTTGCAGTTGCTCTTACCCCGGATGTGAAGAAACCCAACAATGTGGTCGATGGTATCTCATGTAGGTCATGCCAAGCAAAACACATCTCGACTTCATTCTGCAAGCCCAGGAGTTCTTCTCTCTACCTGTCCTACCTCCCCACAGCCAGTCCTCCGCCTCCTGCACATGCGTTGGACCCTGCAACAGCAGCACAGGTGACGGGTCACAAGGTACAAGCACCAACCCGCCCGCCCACCCCACCTCAGGCCCTGTACACATTCCTTCATCGGACATCCAAGCATCCCTCCATCTGAGCTTAGTCTAATTCCAAGGACCATCACCTTTGATGCCCCACGCCTCCTCCATCTTCCGTCAAAGCTCCGGATCTCCACCGCAGTTTGAAGGAGCTCCAAACTGGTTTCGAAAGGAATCACAAAATCCAAGACCAACAAAGCACGACAAAACATTCTGTTCCAGTCTGATTGAATATTCAAAAAACTTTAGTCCGCACGCTTTCTCTAGAGATGCTGTTCCCTTGCAGCAGCTACCTCTCAAAGAACCAGCCTCCAAGCCAGCTGCGAATGCCCACCTGGACAGAATGGAGACTCAAGTGCGTAAATATGTGTAAAAACCGACTTACATAGATGCGACAGCTGGCGCAATTAACAGAAAACTGGATTCAATTTTCTCATGAAACTACCTTGAAGGGAAGTTGCAAAATGCTTGCGCAACTTGACACTGTTCAGCTATCAAAAAATGTTCGGATGGGCTCTATAGACACATAGTTTGCTGCAAGGCCACACTTCATCTCAATCTTCTCCTTCTGCGTCTTCTTTGTCTGCTTCTTCTTACTGTTGTTATTGTTATTATGTGTGAGTGGTGGCAGAGCTCAAGCTTCAGCGGATCGGACAAAATGCTTTTTCCATGGCTTGAACGGGTGAAAGGATCCAGTTCTCAGGGCCCCTGTGGTTCGAGGCGGCGAGGTGTCACATGGCAGGAGTCAAAGGGTGGTTGCATCGATCAACATGTATTGACAGCTCCCCAAAATAAGTTTTGACTCCTGCTCGGAGCTTTGCATTGGAACCTCCGTTCTCTCTGTGGTCGAGTCGCTTCTTCAAGCGATCTGCCTCAGCTGAGATGCTGAATTCTCCTTTCTCGAGGAGATCTATCAGCGGCTGGCATGAACCCTTCACTTTGGTGAGAGGGTCTGCGATCATGGCAGGATGATCGACCCAGCGGATCTCACCTTGGAGTTGCTGAAGGTCTTGCCTTATGATTTGAATTTCTATGGCTGTACGTTTGTCTTGTCCTCCTATGGTCCCCCGGCTCAGGTAGTCATACAGACTCTTCGCGTCCACGATCGCGAGGCACTCTCTGAGGCATCCACTGTCGTCCTTGGCTAGGGCCACCGTTCTTTCCTTGGACATGGTTGAGGCCCATTCGCACATGTTGAACTTCTCGATCTCCAGCTCTTTAAAGAGCACCTTCATCCAAAGGAGATCTCCTAGTCCTCTTGCTAGGCTCTGGGTTTCGGCAGCCAAGGTCGAATTGACCACTCTCTGCAGTTTCCCGCTTCGCCACCATATGAGGTTGGCCTTCACCGCTTTTCCTTCTTTGAGCCCTGGTTCGTGGGCTACGATCATCTGTCCTCCTTGGGAGTGGAACTCGTCGTTGGCGAAGGAGGCGTCAGTGACCACTGCTAGCTGCATTTCTTTGAGTGGTTGGATCTTCGTGGCCATTTGAGAATTCTTCTTGAGGTTCCTGACCACTTTGTTGAGCAGGTAAAGGTCTTCAACTTTCATCCTGGTGAGCCTTGATGACATCAAGCTCGATGGACCTGCTGCATCGGGTCTTCCTTCCTTGGACAGCCAGTTCAATGAGCCACAAATGGCTCTTGCTTGGCTTCTTTCTTCCTCTGTCACGCTTTCCTTCCTTTGGCTTCTTTGCTCTGGGGCTATCTTCATTTCCTCCAGTCGTTCCTCCACAAACTTCTGCATGTCGATGTGGAGGGTTCCTTGCTCATCATGCCGGAGTCTTTTTCCATTGAAGCTTGCTCCTTGCTCTTCTTTCTTGAGGTCTATCCATTTGCCAAATTTGAATTGGCTCCTCAATTCTTTCATCTTTTCCACAAAGACTCCTTTTCCGCACGACAAAATGTCGTCTACTTCAATTGCCAGCATGCCAGTGAGCTCGTGGTTGTCATAGAGCTTGTAGATGCAAGGGTCAAGAGAGCTTTCCTTGAACCCCATCTTCTTCAAGGCTCCCACTAGCGTTCTTCTCCAATGCAAGGGTGCATCGGCCAATCCGTAACATCCAGCAATGATCAGGCAGATCTGTTCTGGATGGAGTCCTGCGATCCCTTCTGCAGGCTGTTTGAAGTATAGAGGTCCTTTCTCTCTTTTCAGTGGGGAACTTTGGCAAAATGCACTCTGCAGATCTCCCACTGCTGTCTCCATCTCTTTGTTCACGGCTAGTTGGAGCATCACGTTCAGGTTCATCGTGCTCACTGTTGGGCTGAATCTCTCCAGGTCGAGGATGTCCGGGTCTTTGTCTCCTCTGATACAGAGTCGGCTTTTCTTCGTTGGAGCTTGACCTGGTTGCTCTGAAGGTTTGTACCTCCTGGCCATTCGAGAAGGTAGTATTCTGTCTGCCTTCCCTTCTTCCGTGAGTTTCTTTACAATGCTCCTCGACTCTTCTAGGTCAAGGACCTGGATGGCTTTGCTCATGTGGATCTTGCTGAACTCTGACGCGTCAGCAACCTTCCACTCTTCGAGGTCTGTTGGACTCTCTTTCCTCAGATCGACTTCTTGGCTTAGGTTGCCTCCTCCTTGTGTCTTCTCCACCTGCCACACTTCGATCCTCTCTGGTTCCTCCTCCATGAGAATCATCTTGAACTCCGTGCTTCCTTTCCACCAGAATGTCTGTGGAATTCTTCCTCCCTTTGGCAGGCTCCTCCATTCTTCGTCCTCTTCTTCTTGAGGTTCTTCCTTTTCGTTTATCCAGCGGGTGATTCTTTTTCCAAAGCATCTTGCTGGTATTGGGAGGTCTTGCATTCCTTGAGGGCTGAATTTGGCCTTCCTTCGGTTGACGTGATGTCTCACTATCTTCTTTTCCTTGAAGTCGATCTCCCAGAAGTCCTTCTTACTTCCTTTTGCCAGTCCTTGCAGGTCCTTCTTGCGAAGTATCCAGAAGTCTTCGTCTTCTTCTTCCAACCGGCTTGACAGGAACCATTCTTGAAAGTATGGGTTGACTGAGCTTCTGTCGGGCTTCCATCTGAGAGGTCCAGAGATGGGTGGCAACCCGTCCAGTGCCCTCGCTCTTTGATGGATTCCTGTAGGCTTCTCTGGTAGCCTTCATCTTCTTCTTCCTTCTTCTTCTTTCGAGAAGCGTCCTCCTCTTGTTCTTCTCTTTTTCTTTGCTGACTCCTGGTTTCATCTTCTTCTCTTTCTTCTTCAGGCTCATCCTCCCACGAGCTTGGTGCCCTGTCCCTTGGACTTCGGCTTCTACTTCTTGGCGTCGTGATGGGCTCCGTCGGGGTGTAGCCTTCCTCTTCTACTTCTTCTTCTTCGACTCTTCTTCTCTTGGCTTCAAGGTCTTCTCCCTCTTCTTTCAATCCTCCTTCTTCATCTTCGTCGTCTTCTGGCCATCTCTCTCCTCTCAAGTCTTTATAGCCTTTCCTGTGGGATGATCTTTTGAACTCTTCGACCAGCTCCTTACAGCTCCTCATCACTTCTTCGATGCCCTGCTTCTCCACATTGGTGGCTGGTCTGCATTGCTCTCTGGCGACTCTCCATAGTTCTCCGTACATGGAAACCCAGAGACTAGCCCCGTCGACGGCAATGACTGTCCCGGGGCCTATCCAAGTGGCTTTGTTCGGGCTTCTTTCATGGCTTGGCTGACCTCCTTCATGTTTCCTCTTCTTCTGTCTGGGCACTCGGTAGACGAAGACGTAGTCTCCTGCTGTGAATTCTTGTGGCGCCCTGGTTCTTCCTCTTTCAACCCTTTTCAGGGCTTCTTTGGCATTGTGCTCCACGAACGCCTTCTGCGCAAGCCTCCTCATCTCGTGAAGTCTTTCCATGTCGTCCACCACCGCTCCGTTCATCAGCCCGGGATCTATCACATCGTCTCCCAAGAGCGAACTTGGGACTCTGGGCCATTGCCCAATCTGCCGCTGCACCGGAGAGAAGCCGCTCCTGTTGCTGAACCTGTTCTTCGTCATCTCAACTTCTTGCATGAGCAGCTCTAACTCTTCTTTTGACGTGATCACTGCTTCTTCTCTTGCTTTCTCTAGGAGCTCCTTGAAGTGTTGTCCATGTCGTTCAGTACGGCCGTTCTGCCAAGGAGCCTTTGCTGCGATAGTCTGAGTCACTATCCCATGCGAAGCGGCCATTTGCATCAACTGGGAAGAGAATTCTCTTCCAGCGTCGGTGACTAACACCTCAGGCAGCCCGAAGGTGCTGATAGTTGCTTCCCCAGTCTACCGTTGACAAGGCTGGAAACAGCCTTCCTCCTCCAACTTCCGGCAGGAATATCAGGTCCAACCCAAGAACCCGACATGGTTGATAGGTCCTTGGTATGGCCGCTGGTCGATTTGCCTTTGGCTTTGGCTTGGCCTCACAGGCGGGACATTGAAACTCTTTGTAAGCCCATCGGACCAGTTCTCCTCGAATTCGAGCCGCTCTCATGAACCTTACGAACTCGTTCTTCTGGGGATGTCCCAGTCCTTTGTGCAGCTTGAGGATGGACTTCTTCTCTTCTTGGGTGACTGAGTATTGGGGTTCTTCTTCTCCTCTCATCTTCCTCCTCTCTTCTGCTTCCATCTCTTGGTCTAGTGCTTCTTCAAGTCCCTTCTCTTCATCATCTTCTGGTTCTTCTTCTTCTTCTTCAGCGGCTAGCACCGAGAGGATCTCCTCTTCATGCCCACCATCCTTCTTTAGCTGCTTCTTCAAACCTTGGATCACCGCTTTGCAGAAGTCATGCGGGTACTCCTGGGCTTTCACTGGAAGTCCGCACATAGTGGGAACGTGGAAATGAGTCCTGTCGCACTTTCTCTCCACTGCCCTTTTTATCTCCTCGGAGTTCAACATGAGCTTCGTGGCTTCTTGTTCAATCCTCCTCCAGAGACATTCAGTCCGAACATACACATGTCCGTGATGGCTGTGAGAACGCCCGGCATGTTTTCCACCTTCTGGACGCATGGCTCTTTCCATGAAAGTGCGGAAGCTGGGTGCTCGAACATGAAGTACTTTCCTCTTTTGCGCTGCCATTTGGCCAATTCCATGGCTAGTTCAAGATGCTCCACGCCCGTGCTCAAAAGCATCCACGCCTTGCCCCAGCCCATCTTCGGGTAGTTGAGGTGCTGCAGGATGGAGAAGGCCACACATGGCGGGCAAATGATCAGCAGCTCTGGCTGTTCTGCTTCTAGCTTCTTCCACATTTCTTTCTTTTGGGCTGGGTTTGACAGATCCCAACCTGTCTTGAGGTCGAAGGACGTGCCTGGCTTCATTCCTTGGCGTTCGGCTTCCTTGGCTATCCTTGGAGGTGAGAACACTTCGCTCACGGTTTGGAGGCCTTTCATAACTTGCTTCCTCTGTCGTTGATTGAGCTGGGTCTCCTTCTCTACGCCGAACTCATCTTCAAGTTTCGCCTGGCTGGACAGCCAGGCTTGAATCCTCACTGTTCGCTCTTCTCTCAAAGGCACAAGTCCTTCTTCTTCCTTCCACTCCTTCTCTGCGACCTTGACCTGGAACTTCAGTGCTGCTTTCAAATGTGGCACTTGTCCAGCTTGGATCTTACGAAGCGTCCTTCTAGCCATTGTGTTCTCGGCCGGCATCCACGGGCCGTCATCTTCTTCTAGTCGTCGTCCGGGATCTGCACCGTTTCTGCTGCTGCAAACCTCTGCTTCTCCGTCCTTGGGCTTTTGCTCCTCCTCCTCGCTCCTTCTCCTGGGACTTCTCCCTCGGACTTCACTAGGGCGAAGCTCATCTCCGTGGGAGGCTTCACTTGATGGGTGATCGTCTTCCCCCACTCGAAGAACTCGCATTGTCCGAAGCGGCATGTCCAGAACTGTCGTTCTTCCGGTCGGTCTTCCAGCATCCTCCTGAGCTTTATGGCCAAGGTGCCGCAGTGGCACAGTCGGTCCTCCTCCCATGGTCTTTCTATCTTCGGAGGGCTCTCTTTCTCTTCTTCGTTCTTCTTCATGACCGAGTGGAACATGGCCTCCATCTTGATCTCCTTTTCTCTCAGCTCCAACTTCTGTTGTTGCAGCTCCTTCCACATGGCTTCCTGCTCGGCTTGATTCTCCTCCTTTTCCTGGTTCAGGTACTTCTGCAGCTCCAATATGACCTTCTCCGTAGGAGCTGAGGCACTGGATGTTGTCGAGGAGGTCTCTCCGCCCATCTTCTTCTTCATCTCTTCTTTGACATTCGCCATTGGACTTTGGCTCAAGAGGCCCTTCTTGTTCTTCTTCAAGTCTTCTTTGATCTCGGTGGCCGTCAGCGGGGACTCCCAACGGGAGTGGCACATCTTGCACATGATGTACGAGGCACTCTTGTTCCCGCCGCCCCTGAGCTGAGCTTTCGGATGAATGCATGAACTGGCGGCCGTAGTCGGTGCCTCCTTGGACTTCAGTGGAGTCAGCGGCTTCGCTTTGGTGATGACCTCGCTGTAGATGGCCTCCAGAGAGTCCCCGTCCTGCCTTGAGGGCGGCGCAAATGGCCCCGAAGGTGATTGCGCGGGGAACCACTCTTGCACGATGCTTTGGCGCTCGACGAAGGCCAGCATCACGAAGATCTTGTCGAGCATGACTCTCCAGTTCCTGATGGCGAGTTTTGGACGCCTCGCCTGACCTTTCATTGTCACATCTTTCTTCTCTTGAGGTGCTCCCAAACTGGCACCCATCAGCTTGCCCATTCGCCCCATCAGGTCGGCCATGATGGTCGGAGGTGGTGACGAGTCTCTCGAAGGTCTGGGCAGCGGCTGATCTGAGTCGATCGAATTGAGCCAGCATGGCTTGAGTGCTTTTCTGAAAAACAAAAATCCTCTCTGCAAAAAGGTGCACTGGCAGGAACTGCAAAGCCGTCAGGTGGGAAGTGCAAGATGTCTATAGTGACATGTCCGCTGGGCGTCTCACTCATGTTCAACTCTAAACCCTCATCTGGCAAAATGAACTTGTACTTGATGAAATCGAGAATGACCTTCATGTGTTTCAACAGCTTAACTGGTAGCAGAAGTGGAACCTCACCCTCGACGACCGTGACCTCGAGCAACCCGCAAATACCTCCGATGCCCAAAGGAATCATAGCTACCCCAACGACTTGAGCTTGACCTCCTATGCCTTTGGCTAAGGACTTCTTGGGAACCCACTTGATTGCTAATCCGTGATCATGTAGGCGATGCTCAAGACGTTGAAGCGCATTGATCCCGACCAGTCCCCCTTCGGCCGCCGTGTCCACGACCCCGACTTCCGAATTCGTGGTGATGCCACAAAACTGGCTGTCGGACGAAGCGGCCTTGTATGCTGAACGAGCGGGTGAGCTTTCTGTGAGACGGAGAGCTTGCTTCCTCTCCTCAACAAACTGCCTCAGCCAAAAGGTTTCCTTGGCGGAACCGGCTGAGTCTCCAGGAAAACATTCGGACGAGTGGGCCAAATCGCCTTCGTCCTGCACTATGAAAAAGCCCGTCTTGGTTGAGGCTGCCGAGGAACCGGCGGGTGCTCCATTGGATTGATGCTTTCCTTTCTCAGAACCTTTGCTGGTGCACTCTCGGCTGAGGTGTCCCAAGGCTCCACAACTCCAGCATCGGGTGCGAAGCTTCAACTGTTCAATGTGCACTCGATGCTTGCCTTTTCCCTTTCCTTTGCTCTGCCCAAAGCCCTTGCCCTTGAAGTTCTCCCGGTTGTAGAAACCTCTGCCGTTTCTTTGGTTCTTCAGGGCGTCTCGGATTTCTCTATAGCTAGCCAAGGCTTCCATCATTTCTTCTTCTGTATAGGCGCCGTCCAGGTCTCCTTCGGCCACGTAGATGAATTCTTCTCCGTCGCCGTCCTCATCTTCAGCCTGGAGGTACGTGTCATTCTCAACAGCGTCATCGATGTCCATCAAGTAGGTGCCCTTGCTGTTGGACTTCTCCTTGACCACCTTATCGAGTTTTCTCAAGGCTTTCACTATGGACATCTTGTCGTACTTGCCATCGCACCACATGAGAAGTCTTTGCTCTTGGGGCTCACTTAGTGAAGCTTGGCGGTACAAAATGTACCCTGTCGCTCCATCAGGCAGCTCCACTCCTTCTTTGGTCAAGCGGCTGAAGGCCTTCTCCATGCGGGCGATGAACTCCGGGAAGCCTTCTGTCGACTGCCTAGGTCTCCCATAGACTGCAGTCTCGAAGGCTCTTGGGAGTGAGACTTCGAGGTGAGGCAAAAAGAACTCTCGAAGTCTTGCCATGATGTTTTTCACACCGTCTTCGTTTGCGATCTCGTCGAAGTCCATCTCCTCCACTGCCAGCTGCGCCATTCCTGACAAAGCCCTCAGAAGCTTGGCCCCCCTGCTTCCTTTTGGGAATGTCAGTCTCGAAGCACCATAGACAGACATCGAGAAGAATGTCCGGAAAGTCCCCTCGGGGTCTACCCCGTCATACCCTGGTGGTGGGTCGCGGTCTCGCGGCCCTTCTCTCTCTCTCGAAGTCCTGTCCTGCTCTTTCAGCTGCAGCAGCGGCCGTCGTGAAAGCCCTCGAACTCCTCGGTGGCCTGGTCATGACCTCATCATCCGTCTCGGACCTTGGCACCTTCCTAGATCGTCAACAGCAGGCTCCGCTACCACTGTGAGTGGTGGCAGAGCTCAAGCTTCAGCGGATCGGACAAAATGCTTTTTCCATGGCTTGAACGGGTGAAAGGATCCAGTTCTCAGGGCCCCTGTGGTTCGAGGCGGCGAGGTGTCACATGGCAGGAGTCAAAGGGTGGTTGCATCGATCAACATGTATTGACATTATGTTTTTTCGTACGTATTTCATTGCTATTCTTATTTGTGGTCTTTGTCTTTGTATTTTTCTTCTTTTTCACAAACTGATCCTTGACTCACGTTTCTCATGACAACAGATCCGCAATTGGGGACTGCAATTGACTGACCTGACTAAACGAGTTTTCGAGTTCCATTGATCGGTCTGAGGGTTCAGCCCTTGGAACTTAAAACACCCCACAGCTTCAAAGCTGAAGACATGCCAAGCATGTCCCTGAACCCCACTAGCTACGTCCACTTTGCAGCAACCCCCCTGCGCGGCGGACGCTCAGCAGATGGAAGGCGATGCCCGAGGCGAGGTTGGAAAAGGGGATGTCTTTCGGCCAACAAAAAACTGTCTTTCGGCCAACAAAACTGATACAGAGTCTCTTTGGCAAATTCATCCTCCATAGTGGCTTCCCAACTGCCGTATCCAACGTTTACTACCCCCAGAAGAGTACACCCCTGACCCTGAAGGGGTTTCTAGCCACGAAACCCCATCTGGACTGATTGGCTGAAATCCAAAACAACACACACAACACACTGATTGGTGAACGAATCAATTGTGCACCCGGCCTTCGATGTGGAACATCCAAGTGATGTTTCGGGGCACCCGGGCCTGGAGAGCGTCGAAACTCCAGGCCTTCCGAAGGCCCCCCGGTGGGCCGGTGGGCATTGTGTTTTGGGTTCGGACTTTCATGCCGGTCCATGCAAGGTGGAGGGAGGTCTGCCGCCTTGAATGTTCAGCTGCCACCAGGGAACTCCAAACAAAGCATTGCTGTTTTCGACAGTACTTCTGCCTCCTGTCGAACATGCAAGGGGCCGACATCCACGAACTCCGCAAATTTGAATCTATGCTCTGCACGGTATGGAAACCACTGTCCTGGTGGTCCTCATCCAAATCCTAGTGAAAAGTGATGGTTTGGCAAAGCTTCCGCAGCAGAGTATTTGTAAGTATCTTCTGACGCATCTGCAAATCTGTCCTCTACCAGGTCATCTGGCGACGCTGTCTGGCCAGAAACCCTGACATGATTGGTGAGATGGCAACACATGACCTGAAATTGTCTGTGACCCGAATACAGGATCGGTGTGCCTGCCTGCAACTGCTGATCGCTGTTGCGATGCAATCTCCTGACCACTCTTTTAATCACGATTCACGAGCCCGGAGTCGGATTCTTTGTCCTGGAGCGATTCGGAAACCGAATGAGAAAAAACGGACAACTATGCAGGCAACCAGCCTCGTGAAAGAAAAGACCATCTTAAACACAAACAAATGTACAGTCGAAATAACTGAGAGTCGTACAAGAACAAAAGACCCGGACGCACTCCATCACTTCGAATTTTGAAGCCTCACCAACCCAATAGCGACGGCCTCCAACCTAATTAAGAGCGATGGCCTCCAAACTAAGATGCTCTTTTTTCGGTGTAAACAGAAACATAATCTCGATTTATGAAGGGTGGATTCTCAAACAACACCTTGCTTCCTGGGGACCTGAGGTTGGCGTGTCGGCGGAGTCGACGAGGCAAGCCGCAAGCGCGGTGTCGCAGGTTGGATGTCAAAAGTGGACCGTTGGCTGAAGCAGATCTTGAAACCATCCAGAAGAATCACACAGCAGAATTTGTACTAGGAGCATCTTACTAGGAGAATCGGACGCTACTAGGAGCAAGGACGGGCATCGTTACGAACGGAGCGATCGGACGCTGTGGCGGCAAGAAGCTGAGCGAATGAAGCATCTTTAGTTCAAGGGGACTCTCTACGCGTCAAAAACACGTGGAGCGACCGCTTGTGACAGACTAACTTATATCATCTTACATCTAAAAGTCTAAAGCAAGGCTGATTTTTCCACGCTTCAAACAAAGAAATAGGGCACAAATTCATAGAGCAAGCTTGGACGCATGAGCAATCCAGAGCTCGGTCAGCAAAAAGAATCAACATCTCAAATTGTACAAAGCAATCAAAGCTTGAAAGAAGAAACTGCAAGGATGAAACATTATGGGTATCACAAGGTCCAGTGGTTTCCAGTGGCACTCCTGCAAAACGTGGGTATCGTGACATTGACCAGATTCTTTGACCTGGCAGTGCCTTGCGAGGTCTGGAAGCAAACCCTTGAGAAGGAGCTGGGTCTCTGGTGCTCTCAACAACTAGGCCTCCAACCTAAGAGCGCACATCCCTTCACCCAAAGAAATGCCTTCACGTCAAGCGATCAGCTTTTTTTATATCTTTTTTGAGCTTCGCTCGTCTGGTGATGTCCGATTGTTCAGTCTGGACAGCGCGCAGGGGTTCACGCAGCGAAATAAAGCTCGTACACCATAGTTTCTGCATTTCTGTCAAGGTGAACCACTGACTCCCAAGCTCGAAAGACTGACCTCCTAGCACATGCAGCTTGAATTAGAATCGGGCAGCTAGGCACCGAAGGCTGCTGCAGCATCTTATCTCGTGGAGAAGGTGAGGTACACCGAGAGATGCGTGTCAGCCAAGACCGTCTGCCGCAAGCAGTTTTGAGCATCCAATGCCAACTCAGGGCTTTGCATTTCCACCACCCAGCCCCCTTGCACTTCTGCAGCATCCACCATAGCAGGGCCTAGATCCTTGCTGTACGAGACTAGCTCAGTGCAAAGACAGGTCACCAACTCTGTGACATCCTGCAAGCTCCTGTGCCCCACAGGCAAGTTTCCGATGTACAAATGCCGCAACCCTCGCATCATCGGCTGAAGAGCAAACTTGGGAGTAGCTCCTGCAGGGCGAATTCCTGGAGGAGGCCGCGGTGGTAGATGGGTGCTTTCCACGGGAAGAGAAGCATGCATGTCATGCATCGGCATGCCATGGGTCTCCCTCTTTGAACTCAGCATGCCGATCCGATGTAGGACCGACACATCCAGCACTGGCGCAGTAGCACCAGAGTCTCCATCCGGGGGGCTGCAGTATTCGTGAGGGCGACGCAGTTGGACCGCACAACCGCAAATCTCCATGCCATCGAACAAAAGAGCTGTTCGAGCAACAGTCTCATCAAGGACCAGCACGAAGGCATATGGATGTGAGGTATCAAAGCCAGTGATGTTGACGTGCAGCACTGCGCAGGAAGTGAAGCCTGGCCGCAACAGTTGCGAGCAACACAAGCACCAACCTAATCCCCACCCACACCCCTTTATCAATGAATCAGAAGTCAATACGTGAGGCAATCAACTCGCCACACGGTGGGGAGGCGCCATTCGGATGTAAGTCACATTGGAGGCATCACAAGCATTATCAGGATTTGTGCATGCTTGTGTTGGTGAAGAACGTTCTTGAGGGACTATATTCCGATTGTATTCCGTCACAATTTAGGACCCGTCGAAGTTCTGAAATTTATGGCGGTGACAAGTTGAATACTTTCTAGAGTCAGAGTTGGCTCCATACAAATGATCATGCTGCCAGGTTGTACTGAAGACTGCCGAATTCATTGCTCTTCGGCAAATGAGCACAACAATAAACGTAAAGCAAACATACATCATACATCATATATCATACATTTCACTTAAATCCTTAGGTGCGGTGTCAGCCCAGGCAGGCACATCACCGTGAACAGTGGGAATAAGAAAGAAAGAGAACCTATTCTGTGATGTCTTGCTAAAGGAACAAAGGCCCCTCTGTCTGACAATGAACTGCAATATTCCTGACCCCTGGCCTTTCTTGAAGTACATGTGCCTGAAGTCTGGCATAGCACGGAAACGTTGCTCGAAAGCCTGCTGCACATCAATGGCGCTGGTGTCCGAATGTAGCTTTGAACAAACGATGGTCCGGTTCACCTTGTTGTAAGGAAGGCCTGCACGCAAACGAAAATCCCGAGTACACCAAGTGAGTTGCTTCTTCGCATGGGTCTGCCATGATGGAGGAAAGGGCACTTCCAGGTCCAAAGATTCATCTGATGACATTGAGGTGGTGGAAGCAACATCTTCCTCCTTCTCGTCTTTCTTGGAGCTCAAGCTGTCAACCTCTATGGCCTCCTGACTTGCTTCAACAGCTTCCGCACTTGTTGGACGAAACGCTGCTGGAATGCCAATGCACCGCGAACAACAGCAGCCCACCACGCAGGTCTCATTGTTTGGTGCACCACGGGCCTGAGCAAGTTGCTGTGCTTTCTTGCACACCTCAACCTGGTAGTGTGCCATGGCATTGGCCATGACCATGCAACCCATAGCATTGACCCCAACCCAAGGGACAAAGACTGGCCAAACCGGAGTTGGACCTTCGCCAGACGACGAGCGCGAACACCTGGTGTCCAAGGAGGTCTCCCGAGACGTGGAGGTCTCCCGGTGCGAAGGCGGCGACGTCGGGAGGTCGCTCTTGGGACTCGAAGTGCAAAATGGGCGGTGTCTGGGACTCTTGGGACTCTTGGGACTGGGACTCAGACAGGTCAGCCGCGGAAAGGAAGGCTTGAAGGGAGGTGTCTGAGGACTGGACTCTCTTGTTCTGGGCGCCGGTGAATTGGGCGGTGACAAGACTGCCTGTTCGTCGACTCACCAGCTTGGGAACTGCTGGACATGTCCTGGTCTCCGGCTTTCCGGCGCTCTCCATGGCAGACAGCTCAGACAAGGCTTTGGGCAATCAAACAATCGCACTTGTAGAAACCATTCAAGATCTCGCATGAGAGAAGCTGCTTTTATTCCAACTTGAGAATCAAAACTAAATGGTCCGCCAGGTCTGTTGCGCTGCTTGACCAAATCAAGACACCGGCAAAAACGTTTTGAGAATGTCAAGTCAAAGGTCTGGCACGTTTAAAAGCTTTGCACCTAGTAACAAGTGCAACGCTACTAGTAACATGGACGCTACTAGTAGCTAGGGCATCACTACTAGTAACAAGAAGCTTGATTAGGTTGGAGGCCATCGCTATTCGGTGGAGGCCATCGCTAGGGCATTCCTGTACAAAAAACAAACTCACCGGAGCCTTCAGCACAGCGTCGAGTGGAGCATCTCTCGAAACACCTCCACATGTCAAGAATTGCCTTGTGTGAAGTGGGCAACAACCTTGATTAGTAGTAGCGATGCACTTGTTACTAGTACCTTCATCATGAGTGATAGTGACAATAATGGACAAGAGTGACACATAGTGTGAATATTGTACATCCATGTGCAATGAGCATGCAATCACTAGGACATGACAGTTATGCTTCAGCCCGCACACACCTAGCTGTTGACAGCACCAGAGATCCAGCTCTTTCTCAAGGGTTGGAGGCCATCGCCTCTTAGGTTGGAGGCCATCGCTCTGCGTTGGAGGCCATCGCTATTAGGTTGGAGGCCGTTGCCTAAGATGGTTGCGTTGTCACTGGTCCCTGCGTATTTTTGGTTGTGTAAGCCTTCAGCATCCAGGTTTCTAATCCAAGAAATGTGGAGTGGCATGCTGTGAGTGTCGGATGAAAATCTGGAGCTGTCAAAGAACATCTTGAGCCGCGGAAACTCAGCAAATTCGACATCGCCACAAAGCAATCACAATAATCACATATGTAACCTGTGACAGTTGATCAACCCAGCTGTCGTGTTGTGAAACACAGATTCAAGTTTGATCAATTTTGAAATGTGTTGAAATTGTGTGGATTGTAGTGTGAAGATGCTTTGAAATATTGCCACATGATTGAATTAACTTGCCTCAAACACCTGCGCAAAGAAAGTTCCTGCGTTGTTCAGTCTACACAAAATTCAGCAAACACTTTGCACCAGTTGTGTCGCTCTAGCTCGAAATGTCTAGATTCTGGACGTTCCGTGCTCTCAGTCGTTGCTCCGCAGTTGCCTGACCTGGCCACAGGTCAAAAAGGTCCAACTGTGGGATGATGACATGAAAGCGGGCTGATCACAAAGGACATCCAACCTGTTGAGAGCAGAATAGTGGGATCGTTGACATTGATTTGTGGTACAGTTGTTGAGTGCTATGCCGGGGTTATGTCAACTCAGTATAGACCTTGGCCGTTTGCCACTAGCGCCTTCGGTGCAGTAATTACCGTATTTGATGAGTTTGTTTTGCAGTTTGTGGACTTGGATGGAGACATCAAAGACATCAAAGAATAAGTGTTCATAATGTGGTACCACATTTTGCAACAGAGGTTGGCCGCTCCTACTTATGTGCAAAAAAAGACTGTCTTTTTTGTCACCCAGAGATGGGCCTGGCACATGCAGGATTCCTACTATTCTCATGATGGTTTTTTCAAGACCTTCGGCTTTGACACCCACCTCGGTCCCCAGAATTGGCAAGAAAACGAATTACAGGAAACTGTGATCTCACCCTCCAAAATAGGCCTTGCAAGCAAAATCCTTATTACCCAAAACAAAGTCCCATCGAATCTGCAGAAGTCCCACGTCACTAATCAACTATTGACATAGGGGAGAAGGTATTCACGCGCGGATGTGACAACTTTGGTTGGGACATCAAATTGGGACTCAATCAAGTTTGCGTATCACTTTCCATCTACAATGAAGAGAAACAAGTCACAACTGACCAAACAGCCCAAATCTCATAGATGAGGAAGATTGCAATCTTGCAAAGAGATCCCTGTTGGAAGCAAAATTAAGTCTAAAGACAAGGATTTGAAATAGGAAACCAGCTGAGCAAGAAACAATTCTGACCCCCCAACTTGCTGAGCTTGAAAATTTCAACTGAGATTAAAAAGCTGTTCCAACATAGCAAGTGGTGCTATTGAACTGCTTAGTCCGAGCGAGTCAATTCAGGTACAGTAAGAGAACAACAGCCACATCAAATCAGGCAAATTCAACTATTGCTTGTTGCCAAGCCAATAGATGATCCTAAGTTTCCTTTGGAGCAAATTCTTGATCATGGACATGATGAACAAAGCCTGAATCCAGATGGATTGTTCGTGGAGACAAGGATCCAGATGTGTTTTCCGTGCCTTCAACATCACCAGTGATTTCTAGACACACTCTGTTTTTGGGTTTACAAATTCTAGCAAGGCGTGAAATGGGAGATACATTCAGATGTTTCTCAGGCCTTCATGGAAGGATCTCCAGAGATCAGCCACTGTTTTGCGAGGTTCCGACCGATCTGAACTCCATATATAGTTCGTCTAAGGAAATCAGTGTTTGAACTCACTGATGCTCCCTTTCAGTGGAATAGACATCTGGAAAATCCACTTCGCAAATTGAAATATAAGCCAGGTATTTTAGATGCGTGCTTGTATACCCTACATATCGAAGATCAGTTGCAGGGGATGATCACTTTGACAACTGATGATATGGTTGCTGGTGGAACCAAAGAACATTTGGCAGCTTCGTGTTAAGTATAAGTTCGGAAAATAGGAGCACAAGCAGGGCCGGTTTTGCGGTAAAGATATTACTCATTACTCAGTATAAAGAGAATTCTATTATATAAGATTATATACTCAGGAGTATCATGTCCAACTCAAATGCACTGAAAAGATTCCCATTCCCAATGCTCATCAAATCAAACAGTTGCGTTCATGCATTGGAGCTTTGAGCGAAACTCGTGTTGATCTCATGGGTTCGGTGGCCTTGTTGATTCAGTGCTTCCCAAATCCCAAGATCAAAGGTCTTTGAACCTGCAATCGCATATTGAAGGAGACAGTAAGACACCAGGATTGTCCTTGCTGATACAGTCCATTCCAATTGACTTGTGTATTGTCGTAACCAGTGAAGAAAACCAGAACGCCCGAGACTAAAACCCATCTCGTCACTCTAGTTGAGAAATTGATGAGAGATACCAGTTTGGCCGCACACCTATAACGAAGAACTTCATACACCTCCAACAGCTGAAGATAAAGATCACTATGGCGACTTCGACTTCCAATTTAACACCACTAAGATGGAAAGCAAGGCTGAACAACAGGATGAAGGTACCTCAATGGACAAGATTGCGCGTAATTCAAACTGTACCTCTCGTCCGCCCAAATTAGATATAATTGTTCAAAACACCATTTCTACAGATTTGAAAGGGCCAACACATTGCCTATGCCAAAATACTAGTAGCACAACCAAGAATAATTGCTGCGGTTTCCTTAACTCAGAGAGCTGCAAAAATGTTAGAGAAGCCAGTAGGTAGTGAGGTAGGAGTGGAGAGAACTTGACTGCGGCCACCTGAACAGCATACGAAGCTCTTGTATGTTCCTACACCTATTGCGCTTCTGATGTGCTTGAAAAGAAGGTGCAATTTCACTCATGTGTTCATCCATGAAGCTCACCTGAGAGACATATACAGACCTGTTGCTCACTGTATGATTTCTGCAACGCTCTAACCTTCCTCCGTTTAAAGTCATGTTCATGTCTGCTGCCGTGAACACTAACTAACGCGTACCTCGAGTTTGTCTACAAAGCAGTTCCACAATGCAAACGGAATCATGTGGTATCATCACAACAAACAAATGCCAGAAGTGCCCACGCATACCTTGGTCGATTACCCTTCTTCCAAGAAAACGGAATCATGAGGGATCAAGATGGGAACTGGTACTGCAACAGAAAAGAATACACTCATTAATTCGTATCCACGCAATTACTGCTGATTTCATTATAAGTTACCGTCAGAAGTAGTGGATTTGGAAGACTTAGAAAGCATGTTGATCCTTCCTGGTAGGAAAAACCTGCTAGGATTACGGCCACAAACTACGCGTTTGCCAGAGTATTCAGCACGTCCTTGCTCAGGGTGATATGACAGCGCAACAACAACCGGCTTCTTTCCAGCAAAGCGCTGATTCAACCAAAAGACAAATAATTTTAGCCACGGACGTGGTGGAAACTAGTGTTACAATTCCCGACCTTACCCACGTCATTGACACAGGTGAACATGACCGATTTACATACTTCACAGCATGCAACGCGTATGTCATGTGTTATCAGGATGCTTCATCAGCCACGAAGAAGCACAAAGAAGCGGAAGAGTAGGACGCACGAAAGGAGGTCAGGTAGGTCACTAGATTGCTACCCGATCATATTGTCAGCCCTATACCTCTCCTTAAAGTTTGCATACACATCTTGAGGAACGTATATCACTTATCCTGGACAAGCCGGACTCGGGAACTCCAGTTACCCTTCTTAGCTCTCTTCCTTCTCCACCAAGTAGTGCGCCTTTTTGAATACCAAATGATTAACATGGAGCAAAGTGGCGTATATCCCACCTGTCCAGGCAAACTATTACTAGCACCTTGCAACGCGCCCACAATTGGGATTTCTTGTCTTCCAAGGCTTACGCTTTCGAATGTCCTATTTTGGCAGCAATATATATTATGTCACTATGCTCTACACGAAGGAGCCTTCACTTTTCCGAGGTTGCGCAAAGTCCTGCCGTGTTTCCCACTCACTGTTCATTCAGTGAGTGGACCAGGGACCATCAAACATGCCCTGACCCCCCCTTACTCTCTTAAGGGAGGTTTGCATGCTTGACCTCATCGCCTTTCTTCCCCCTTTTCTTCTTGGTGGTGCTCAGGGGATGGTGGTGGGTGACCTGAAAAGGGGGGTCAGGGCCGCAACGCTGCGCGCGTCGCGTCGTGACAGACCCCGTGATGCTCACGAGTTGTCGTCACTATGCTCTACACGAAGGAGCCTTCACTTTTCGGAGGTCGATCTTCTTCCCGATAGCCAACCCCGAGATCTTCTGGATGCTCGCCGAAGAGCAAGACTGTAGCCCCGTTTTGAGATATGGGGCACTCCTCCAATGCATCCAACACATCCAGCATGAACAGCACGAGCACATTGCCTAACTCCGCATCCTTGCTGTGCCTCGAAGACAGCCATGGGAAGCCCCAAACATACTGCCTGTATCTAATCATGGGTGGCCCGCGGCAGTTTGCACCACGTACCCGAGACCATGTCGAACAGGGCGGTGTAATGAGCACCACATCAAACTCACCAGCCCTCACGCGAGCCAGCAACCTCTGCTGAACCTCTGACTTCGAGTGAGAGGTCCCAGTCAGCCGAATTCTGAATGTCCACATCGTGCACGATGCATTGAATGCCCTGTTGCCTGCACTGCTGTTCCAAGAACATCAGCGTCTTGTATGCTGCCTCCGGCGCTGATCTTGCGCAAGGCTCCTGCACGATCGCCTCCAGGTACTCCGCAAACTCAGCCGCATGGCTCGGCCACGGCTTCCCACAAGCCAACTCCAGCCATTGTCCGACTTTCTGCCATGTCTTGACATGTTTGCGGAGTGTGTTCGGGCGCCGGCCTTTGGCTATGCGCATCATCAACGAGTCCTTTTGGATCTGCGGGTCGCCGGCAAAGAGGCCTTCTTCATGATATCTCTCAACATAGCAAGCCAGCGGTCTCTCTCGGCCTTCTCGGCCGCCTCCCGTAGCGCTAAGTCCGGACCCGCCAAATGTAGCATCTTCCCCAGGCGGGTGGGCCATTTGAAGACCTTTGCACTTCCGACCAACTTGACCCGCTCTGCGACTTCTTGGCCCTCCAAGCCCTCGAAGACTCGTCTCCTCTTCTCACGCTGGTGCTCGACATGTGCCTCCAGCAAATCTTGTGAGCCTCGACCCGCGTCTGCTCTGTGGATCGTAGCCGACCTGTTGTCGCACTTGTCTCCCGTAGTCCTGCAACATCTTGTCCGAAGTCTCCCTTCAACTCTAGGATGGAATCCAGGACCTTCAACTTGCAGCCTTTCAAAGTTGCTAACCTCGTCACAGTCCATCCTAGCTCTGCCAGGGCCTCGTGCGGCCATTGCGGCAACTCTGGGTCCCCCTACCTGACCTGAAAAGGGGGGTCAGGGCCGCAACGCTGCGCGCGTCGCGTCGTGACAGACCCCGTGATGCTCACGAGTTGTCATACTACATAAAGGATACCTTTTGTCTCACCTTTAGCCTTTAACCCTATCATATCGAGAGCTAACTGAACTGGTCAGCTGTAAGGCGTGCATACAAGCAGAGCTTCTTCCAGATAACTCAACCCAAACTCGCAGCGACCTCTTTACAAGTATGGAGGATACATAGTGTGGAGAAACATTTCACAGCAAAGGAAGACGGATGACGCACGTCAGGTCCTTTCGCAGCTATTCCTAAAACCTGAAACATGTCAAGACAGAAAGATTACCTCCCCCTAGAGCAGGCAGAGGATAGACAGGAGGACAAGTTTAGACCTATCCACTGGGAAATGCAAACACTTGACCTAATATATCAAACCAAACTGAACTCCTGTCTGTGCTTAAAAAGGAATTTCAACACAATCTCCCAATCTTACAATGGTGCTTCGCCGACTCCTTTCCAAAGAAAGCTCTTACCATCTGTCAACATCAGTGCTCAACACGAGTGAAACTAACTACTAACGAAGACGCGGTTTGCCCTTCGGTTGCCAAGCTCCATGAAGTAGGCATCGAGATTGACTCGTATCAAAGATTAGCACATTGCAAATATGAACATCAAAATACACACAAATATAACAGACATTGCTAGCGTTACAGGTGCAGCAGTTTCCCCACCCCTGGCACTCTCAAAAGTAACTTGGGTATTCTTAGCGCCTAAAATTAGATGGCGCACATACACACAAAGGGGGGGTGCGTAGAACCATGGAAACTTCTGCAAGTTGCAAGCTATTGAAGAGGATTGCAGCAGATCCGTTCATAGGACCCTCCAAAACTAAATGCAGATGTATCGATCAAAAGTGGCTTCTGTAGCAAAGCAGTGCAGCGGGAAATGTGTCTGAATTTGATGACGTGGGTTTATGGGTTTACGCGGGTTTATGCGGGCTTACGCGGGTTTACGGATTTACGCGGGTTTACGCGGGTTTACGGGCTTACGCGTGTTTACGGGTTTACGCGGGTTTACAGGTTTGCTGGGTTTAGAGATGTTTACGATTTGCGGTGTGTAGTCGAATTCTATCATGTCTTCGAAAGCGAAATCATGTGATGTTCTGGGAAGGCTGCCATCAAGAGGGCATGGTTTCTCATCTGTGTACAACAGTTTTAGCTATGAATATATAAGTATCTCTGAGTGTCGTTTGTCTCTGTTATACGGCGTAATGGCCGACAACCCTTCAAACGACCCCGACTATTGACGATCTTGAGGAACCATTGGCTTGAATGGACATGGGGGTGGAAATGGGATGTGAACATAGGCCTTGACACAATACTAGACGACCAGAGTAAAAGCAAGACTAATTGATCTTGGACCTTGGACGGGCCGAACCCTTGTTGCCATGGACCTCTCCTATGCTGCGTGCAGTCGGTAAACCGGTGTAAACCGGTGTAAATCGGTAAACCGGTGTCGTCAAATACCAGACGCGCGTGATGCCGCAATGGCAAATGTGGCCCATTTGCTTGCGCCTTGCTGTTTCCAAAGAAAAAGCCTTCCTGTCCGTCCCCAAAGCACCTGCTCCTCCTGCTCGGCTAGATCCTCCATGCTGGGCCTCCTGAAGCAACCATCGGGGTCCAACGGTCTTTGTGAAGATCCCAAATTTGTCAAGTACTTTTCAGTATGGCGTCAAGATTTAGAGCCAAGCACAGCGCATCTCGACTTCATTCTACAAGCCGAGGAGTTCTTCTCTCTACCTGTCCTACCTCCCCACAGCCGGTCCTCCGCCTGCGGCACATGCGTTGGACCCTGCAACAGCAGCACATCCAAGGGATCACAAAATGATATAAGCACCCGTCCTGACCACCAACCCAAAAATTTATCCACGCATTCCTTCATCGGCCAAAGGAGGACAACCAAGCATCCCTGCATCTGAGCTTAGTCTAATTCCAAAGACCCTCACTTTGACGCCCCAGGCCTCCTCCATCTTCCGTCAAAGCTGCGGAAGGTTGAGGAGATATCCACCACAGGCCGAAGGAGCTCCAAACTGGCTTGGACACACAAAGTCAATGACCCACAAAGCACGACAAAACATTCTGATTCAGTCTGATTGAATGTCTCAAAGATCGTGGATGTGTTTCCCTTTCTTCTTGACTTCAACCCACATGCTTTCCCTGGAAATTCTGTTCCCTTCCACCAGCTAGTACTTCTCTAAGAACCAGCCTCCAAGGTAAATACCCACTTACATAAAAGCCACAGCTGGTGCAATTGATAGAAAAATGATTCAAGTTTCTTGTAGCAATCACTACCTTGAAGGGAAGTTGCGAAACGCTTACCGCAACTTGCTGTTCGGCTATCTCATGAATGTTCCCTCCCATGACAATGTTGGGATGGGCTCTACAAGTAGTTTGGCGCAAGGCCAAACTTCTATTTCTATTTATGGTTTTATTCTTCGTCTTTTTCTTCTTCTTCTTCTTCTTCTTCTCCTTCTTCTTCTTGCCAGGTCAGTGCAACATGTTACCAGAACTGGTGAGGGTAACAATGCAATCCTTGAGATATAAACTGATCCTTGACCACGTTCGTTTCTCATGACAACGTGGACGGCAAGCAGTCCGTTTGCTGAGCGAGGCATCACCTGCCTTCTAGAGGCTCATGAGGAAAAGCGTGT